GCTTTAGAAGATTCTGTTATAAGAACAGAAACCAGAGCACATAATTACAGTAGGTGTTTGAAAACTACACTATAAAGTTACAAGATAACTATTTTCTGACATTCATAAGAATCCAAGCTAAATGATGGTCCCAGGGTGAATATGAATATTTTCCCCCCTTGGGATCGGTTTAAAGCTAACTTGACCTCTAAAATCTTTAACTTTTGGAAGACAGAGGATATCATGATGATGGCCACATTTACTGAATGTTTACTATGTAAGCATCAGGCTAAGTGCTCTACACACGTTAGCTTATTAATCATTCCAACAATGTGAGAAGCTCTAAGCAACATGAACTCTAAATAAGAATTTTCTTTAGAGGCTTTGAAAATAAAAATTAGCTTATTTGTTACTGCAACTTTAAAGAACTCATGACCTAATTTAATGTAAGAGAAGCACTATATGTGTTATTAAAACCATCTTTGGTAAAATGAAAATATGAATAAAAGCATAAGTATTTTAACTGTATATATGAAACTAATTAAAATAAATAAATTTAAAAAAAATTTTAAAAAGCATAAGTACTTTAGAAAACCACCCCACCCTATCAATCACTACTTGGGAAATTCATGCAAAACCAAAAGACCCTAAAAGGCTATAACTGCTGAATTGAAATAGCCTCAGAATTCTAGTAAGAGTCTTTAATTTATGGTTTATTACAAAGAGACAGTTCTCTTCACAAATTATGCCCAAACAGATGAAACCCAAAGAGTCTCACTTAATTTCCTGAACATAAGAACATAAGACACATAACATACTTTTAACTATCCTTTGTGGTCATTAATCATAATTTAGCAAATACAATAAAATTTCATGTCGAGTCACAAATGTGAACATGTACTCTGAAAAAGTAAAATTAAGACAATAATATAGTAAGAATGACTATTAATACTGATATGTAGAAATTACCCATTACACTGCCAAATTTACAACTTTGCCAGCACATTAAGAAAAGCTTTTATATTTACGCATAAATGTATCAAAAAAGAATGTATTCCTGACACAAAAACATCTTGGTTTTTATAGTTTGGAGAGAGAATATTTGGCTCTAAGAATAGTTATTTCTCTTGTACAAAAGGAAAAAATATAAAAAATTAAATTTTTATTGTGACTACACCTCAAAATGGAGAGCTGAAACTCTATCTTAAGGAAGAAATTATTCCCCAAGAGTAATTTCATCACAATTTCTTGCAGAGACTGTATGTTTCTGCTGGCAACATATAGGTCTGACTAAAAGTTTTCCAATTTTTTTCCTCTGTTTTTTTTAAACCATATTTTAAGCATCATCATCAAAACCAAACACACATATATCTATACCAAAACCCACAAAATTAGCTATTATATACCCATGTAGGCATATTAGTAAATTGGCTAATTGCTTCATGAAAAGTTATACTGTATATAATATAGGGAATATTTGCAGTAGAGGCAGAATAACCTAGATATGGGTGGAAAGCATGGCTCCATTACTTGCTAGCTATGTGCCCTTGGGCAATTTCCTTCTCTCAGTTTGAGTTTTCTTGTTTGCAAAATGAGGTAATAATTCCAATCTTATGAGGATTACTGTATGTGAAATGCCCAGTACAGAGCCTGACTCAAAGCAGAAGTTTAGGAAATAGTTACTGTTATTACTCTGTTGTAATTCCTGTAAACTCTTTAAAGACAAAGCATACATTGTCCTGTAATTCAACTGTAGGCTCTGTAATTGATAACTGAAAAAAACAAAAGGCAAGAAACATGAGTTACAAATGAGAATTTGGTGTATCTGTTCAACACATGCCTAGATAGGAAATGAGACTATGAAGTAATAATGATGACCTTCAACACTTTTCAAAATGAACAATGTCCTTATTTTTAAAAGCCATTCTAAAAAGAGATGTCTGTGTACAAATTACATACAGAACAACTTCCATTCATTCCACAAGTATTTCCTGAATGTCCATTAAGTGCCAGTCATTATGCTAGGCAATATGTATATGATGGTAAGCAAAAGCAGACAGTTCCAACAACCCTCATGGAGCTTTTGCTAATGTAAGCGCACCAATAGTGTAAACCTGTAATAAGTGAAATAAAGAACAGTACATGGTACTCTGAGAGCCAATAAAAGAGATCTAACCTAATTGGGGAGATCAAGGAAAGCCTTCCAGAGAAAGTGAAAGCTAAGAGCTAAACAATGAAGAGGGAGTTAACAGTGGAGGGTGTTTCCAGACAGAGGACAGCAGCTACTGCAAAGACCTTGTACGTTTGTAGCCCAGGAGGAAACCGGCAAGAATGTAGAACCAAAAGGCTAGTGTGCCCGGAGCAAAGATGAGGTGTGAGAATTAACTAAGGACTCTAGACCACTCAAGAGGGACTGAGGCAGTGTAGATCATATTTAAAAGCTACAATGATCCCAAAAGCATTGAAAAGCCACTGAAGAAGCAAGAAGGCTGAAGGGAAGATGCAATCAGATTTGCAATTTGCCTTTGGCTTCTGGAATAAGAGCTAAGAAATGCAGATGGGTAAGATAGAAAACAAAAGTTCTGTCAGGATATAACAGTGGCTTGGAGACTAGGGTGATGAGGTGGTGGTGGTGGTGGTGGTGGTGAAAGAAGTCGATGAATTCAAGAGATATTCAGGAAAACCTGAAGATATATATGTAGTAAACAGGGATTGAGGGAGAACAGTGCCCAAGAAAACTTCTGGGTTTCTGATTTTCATGACTATTTAGAAGGAGACACCATTCAGGAGTGATCAGCTCCGGAAACACCTTTAAGGCAATTTTCACACCCCAAAAAGGGCCTAAATTCATTTTAATTTTGCTTGACCTATGTTAACTCAGTTTGAGCCCCTACTTTACTTATGAGATAGGGTTCCAAAAAGATTTTTCACTATTTCTAAATATCAAATTGACTCTGGAAAGTACAAGATTTTCCAACATTGGAGATATTTCAAAGATTCTGCCACAGCTTTGAAATCAATTCTAAATGAGTTCTAAAATGGTTTGATCGGTACCGTGGCCATGCCAACCCTGAATGTGCCTGATCTCGGGAGCTAAGCAGGGTCAGGCCTGGTTAGTACATGGATGGGAGACCACCTAGGAATACCGAGTGCTGTAGGCTTTAAAAAAAAAAAAGAGTACTCTTAAGAGATATTAAAGTAAAATATGAAATTTCATCAGGCATTAAAATAAGCAGAACTATGGTGCTTTTATGTTTGTTTCAATGTTTTGAAATGCCTGTAGAAAACTTGGTATTTTGTAGGAAAAGGTATGGTTATAAAAAGAAACACATAACTTCCCGATCTTAACATACAAATATTTTATTGTTTCCATCCAGTCTTTGTTAATGCCAAGCACATTCATTCAATATAAAATTTTTACTAACCACACTTGTATACATGTATATAACTATACACGGGGAAAAGCCAATACTTTATCAATACTATTAATACTCTAATATTTACTTTCCTTTAATTTTTTAATTTACAACATAATGTCATTTTCACAGTGGAATACTGATGCCATTAAGTATTAAAAACATAAAAACTTCAAATCTGACTTATCTAAGAAAAAGTGAATGAAAGAGTTCTGTCCCTTTAAAATCAACCCAACACATCACACCTTAATACTAAAGTATTTCTCTAATTCAAGTAGATGGGTTCCTTGGCCACCTGCTTGCACTAGGCCCTGACTTGCATTTCATTAACTCAACTGCAGTTATCAGAATATTACCACTGCTTGTACAGAGCAGAATTCTTTTTTTCCTCATGCTGATTTTATCTCAAAGCACCAAAAGGCAAGACTGTATGTAGTCTTGAGGCCAAATATGAAAAAAATGTCATCTCCACAAATGAGGTGAAAAGTCAAGGGCTTTTTAACAATCAGATCTTAAATAAGCCCATTAACCAATATTAGTTGGTAAAACTAGATTGTCTCCACCCTAGAGACTATGTTACTAAATGTAGTCCTTGGGAACAAGGTATGTAGAGCCTGAAATAGGTGACCAACACAGTTTATGTTTTCTTATTTCAGATTTTTATTTAAAAAATGGAATCAGACTATGGCTGTACTTGAGCACTGCTAAGACCGGGTACGGGCTATGCCAAGAAACAGCGAAAAGCCTTTAGGGTTCCCGTCTCAGCTAGCACTTACCTATCTTCTTCAGGAGTGGTCCACGTCTCCACCTCAGGAATGTGCAAGAGGGAAAGTTATAAGGGCCCCGGCTTTTCCCTTACCCAAGCCCCCAAAATGATACCGTAAAACACTTCCTTCTGGGAACTGAAGGTCGTAAGAGTTAAGGGACAACGGAAGTCAATGTAGGCTTCGGAAAGATGGAGACAGTGTGACGAGATGGGGGTAGGTAAGTGGGAGTCGAGGATGCGCCCAGCCTGGGAGAGCAGAATAGGGCGGTCAAGACCAGGCACTTAGGGAACGTGCGAAGGCCTGGATCTTCCATACTCTGTCCAAGCAGGCCTGCCACGGTCCTCTGAGAAGCCCAAGGGCTCGTCTGAAAATCTAGGGCATCTATGTACTCAGTGCCCACCGCCACTCTTCTCGGGAGGAGATAGTCCCCGCAGGAGCCCTGCCCACCAAAATGTGGCTTTTCCTGCCCTAAAAAAAAAAAAGCATGCCCGCACGGAAAGGAGCAAAACATTTACAGGATTGAAAGGCCGAAGGCACGGTGTTCTGCAAACGGGGCGTTGGTGGATGGAAAGCGAGGGCCCCAGGTCGAGGAACTTCAATCAACTCTGGAATGGGGGGAGGGGCGATACGAGGCCCTGAGCCTCCAGGACCCAAGGAGACAGAAGAGGTCGGAGCAGGAGAGGCCTCCGGAGGCGCCCCGTTTAGGGGATGACGGCCGGGGGCGCGGCCACCAGGGGGAGGCCACCCGCGGCCCGGGGCGCGAGGAGCGCGGCCGGGCAGGCAAAGGCCGGCGTAGGCCCCAGGGGTGCGACACGCCCACCACCGCGGCCCTGCTTACCTGCTCCTCCTCCGGTGTCAGCTCCGGCGCCATGTCGGCCTGGGGCGCGGTCGCAGGCTCCATCCCGCCGCCGCCACCCGCTAACAGAACCGGCCCGGGAGCGCTGGGGCCCACGCTGTGGCCTTGGCTTCCTCGTGCCACCGCTCAGCAGCCCGGGGCAGGCTCGCGCATGATGGGCCGGCGGGCCCGCGCCCGCGGCGGCCCCGCCAACGCCGCCGCTGTTTGCTCACGAAGGGCTCTCCGAGCTGTCGCTCTCTTCTGAGCGGAAATCCTTGTTTATTTTCTCTGCTCCTTTCCTCACATTCCCCCTCCTCTCCCGAAAAAAAAAAAAAAAAGTGCAGGCGGGGAGCTGAGATTTAATCGGGGGGAAAAAAGGAAATATGAAATCAAGAACGTTCTAGGCCCAAGCGAAGGCCGCTGGCCTCCTGGGCGTCCGGCCTCCTCTGCGGCGCTCCCACACCTCCGGAGGGGACGAAGAGTCCTCCGGCTGTGGGCCCCGGCGACCCGCGCGGCTGCCTCTCAGCGCCGTTCCTCAAAAGCCAAGGAGGCCAGAGGGAGGGAGGCCAGAGGGAGGAGACTGGACAACGCTCCCCTCTCCCTGCTCACCGCCAGCCCTGCGGCCGCCCGGGTCTCCCGCCGCTCCATTGAGAAACTGAGCGTCTCATTCACAAATGGGCGGGCGGCGAGGAGGGCCGGCTGAGCGAGGACGCCGTCCGGGAGGGGGCGACAGAGAGGAGCCCGGCGAGGTGGGTGGGGAGAGGAGAGGAGCCCGAGGAGGTGGAAGTGGGACGTGGAAGGGGAGAGGGAGAGAGTAGCTCGCATAGCGGGGCGCAGAGGGGAGCGAGGGAAGGGGAGCTCGAGGAGGGGGTGGAAGGCGGGCGAGGGACGGCGACGACTCCGGACTACGAGAACCAGAGAAATGAAGGCGAGAGTGTTAGTTTGATGAGGTTAAGCTCCATGGAGGAGGAAGAGAATAGTTGTTTGAAAACTAGCTGCCGACGGGCACCTCGCCTGGGATTACTTTCCGCTATCACCTACATGTGAGGAACCCACAATCCTCATCGATTTCCATGTCACTTGCTGACAAAGCCCCTGTTAAGGTTGCCTGCGAAGTCCAAGACGCTCAGGTGGAAGAATAGAGCCTGCTCATCTCAGCCCTAGATCTCGCTCTTTGCCAACTGTATCCAGTAATTCATCACCGATGTAACTAATTTTAGTCCCTCGCAAAAACAGCATCCAATTTCGAAATCTTGTACAAAAATCACGCAGCTTTTGCAAGTCTTTGATTTTCACTCAAGCGTATAGCAGAGCTTGGGGGGCTTACAGGATACAGTCGTGGAATCAGTTCCGGAGTCACAGGGAAGGCAGGGCTGGGTCTGGTATGTTTTTGCATCATTCCAGACAAAAAATAAATATTCTAAAAGGGACCTAGCTAACAAGAGAGTGCCACAGCTAGTACCAAAGGCTGACGCCCTGGAGAACTTGGGGGAGACCGAAGGGAGGGTCCTTAAGACAACAGGAAATGCTCCTAGGACTGTAAAAGCAACCTCTGATCTCATTTCTGCATCATTGCAACAGGCTGCCCTTGGTTAGAGTAGAAACCCCTGGTACTCAGGTAAGTTATTTTATCCTTTGCACCAACAGGGCTAACTCTGGGTTGAGTTCATAACCCTGTACAGGAGTTACTGCATCCAAATGCTCCTCTGGAAGACACGCTACTTATTTAACACGTATACTTACATGCCAGGCACTGGGCTATGCATTGTAGTTACAACTATGAACAACAGTGGTGTCCCACATGTTAGGATATGGAATGATCCTTGAGCTATATTATGAAGTGAAAAAAGCGAAACAAACTGTGTGCATAATATGTTGTCATTTCTATAAAGAAAAAATGAACATACAGTTGTAAACTTGTTTATATATACCAAAGCTTTGGGAGGATACACAAGAAAGGTGTCAGTGGTTGTCTCTCAGGAGGGGAACCGGTAGTCTGGGAACAGAAAGGACAGGAAGACTCTTCCCTATATGGTCTTTTGTGCTTTTTTTTTTTTTAACTTTTAAGTATAATATACATATGGAAGAGATGAAATGTAAGTATACAGCATGATAAACTTCCATAAACTCACACACCCATGTAACCAGCACATATTCAAGAAATAGGACATTCTCAATATGCCAAAGCCCCTCTTAGTCACTACCCCCAAGTAACTACTCTCGAGTAGTTACTAACAGCATATGTGTAAGTTTTGCATGTGGATGTATAATTTTTTCAAAAAATGTTTTAATTTAAATAGTAACAAATAGTTTACCCTTGAACAACACAGGTCTGGTGTGCAAGTCCACTTATACATGGAAATTACTGTATAGTTTTTCTCTTTAAGCAGGCAAATGGCTATAGGACTAAGCTGGAGGAAGAAATGGCAGGACCTGAGTAGTACAAACCCTGAGTAGACACAGGAGAGGATGGAGTTTCTCAACCCACTATTTAGTTTTATATTTGTTTTGCCCAGTGATCCTTAGGACACCAAGAGTCATTATTTGTCCAGTCACACAGCTAATTATTACTGAGCTAGGACTTGAACCCAGGCATTCTAACTCCTAGTGCAGGGATCGAGTTAGGAAAATTAATAAAGGGAGTTTATTTTTTACTTATTTTTAATTTTTTTTATTAACACCTACAGCACCTGGTTTTCCTAGGTGATCTCCCATCCAAGTACTAACCAGGCCCGATCCTGCTTTTAGCTTCCAAGATCAGACGAGATCAGGCAACTTCAGGATGGCATGGCCATAGAAAAGGGAGAAGTTTAACAGAATGAGCTAGGACAGAGAATATAGCAGTGTTTTCAGCTAGGAGTGGGGCGGGGAGGGGGGAGAGTGTGGGTGTGTAAGGAAACAGTTTATGGAATTCTTGCCTATCACAGTCCTTACAGGACAATATTTCTAAGTTTCTGAGCAGAGATGTGCTCAAAAATTTGCCAAGCGCAAGGCAGCTGGCTAGTTCTGCTTTGAGTGGTAAATCTTAGGATAATGAGAATACAAAGGCTTGCCTATAACTATAGGCTCAAACCAAGGAAATCGAATATGGTATTGTCATCCTGCTCAATCAAATCTTAGAGATGCAAAATGGTTTATAATAGCAAAAGAATGGAAACATAATTGCCCATCAACAGGAAACGCAGTAAATAAATTATAGTACACACATCCACCGAAATAGTAAGTTCACATTTATTGTGTCCTTACATGCCACTGTTCTAAATAACTTTCATTCACCTAATCTCACCATCATAGTATGAGATAGCCGAAATTATGATCCTCATTTTACAAAAAAAATACATATATATAAAGTAGATACATATGTACTGACATAGCCTCTTTGCACTTTTAAATGCTTGGCTGCAGGGCCTCTGAAGGAAAGCTAGGGTAGGGTTGGGAGAATGTAGGTGACAAAAACATGTTTATTAAGTTAACATCAGAGTGGGGGAAAGAGGAAGAAGGCAAACGGGATCATATACGAGGTGACAGAAGGAGACTAGACTTCAGGTGGTCAGCACACAATAGAGTATACAGATGTAATATAAATTTGTACACCTGAAATTCATGTTGTTAATCATTACCTCAATACATTTAACATGAACTGAAATCTGAAAGTGGAAAATAAATTATAAAGAGGGAACCTTAGGGGGAGGGCTGTTATAGCTTGTATTTTTGTTTTTTGCTTTTAAAGCATAGGTTTCAGGTCTCTGTCTAGAAACCTTATCCTCCCCTCCTCCCACCTTGCTCAACAGACAAATGTGACTCATCCTCAAGGTTGCAGCTCAAAAGTCACATCCTTAGCAAAATCTTCTGTGGCTACTTCCTAAACTGAGTTAGATTCCCTCAGAGCACCCTCTTATTTTTTATCAGAGAGCTAATCAAAATTTGCAATCATGTACTTGTTCATTAGCCTAGTATCTGCCTGCTCTCTGAGACTGTAAGCTCCAGGAAAGCAGGAACCACATTTGTCTTGTTAGATCCTGGACCCTTAGTAACTAGAGACTAGTATCTGGTAGGCAGTCCCTTCATAAATGTATGTTGAATAACTAAATCAATGAAGACAGTCATCTTAACTCTGAGGCCTCTATCTTACCATTTTCTCCTGCCCTGTTTATATCTATTCTCGTCTAAGAACAAAGATACTTTCAAAGCTGTGACTGGAATTTTATAACCTTTCCCCAAAAACGACTTTACTTCTAAAATCCAAAGCTTCTCTCAAAACATTACTCAAAATATCTGCTGCCTATGAAAGACACATGTGTTGTGCTATAGACATGCTTTAGAGGTAAGAGATCCAAAAAAGTTCTTGTTGCCATTTTTTGAAAAAACAAACAGATACAGAGTAAATAGATCATACTGCTAACCAATGTCTAGGGTGAAAATTTTTTCTTGTTTACTCATAGGCCACGTTTATAATAACTAAGATAGCTAAAGGTGACCTCTGTAAGGAAGGCGAAAAATCTTATACTATGTAGATTACATTTGGAACATTACTATAGGGACTGGTCCTTACCATTGCTATCCTGTTTTTGTTTTTATTAAAATATGATCTGCCTCTTTCCTCACACAATTTTCTCAACTAACACTTAACCACTCCTAGATCACAGGTTAATCAATCACTATACGATGTTACTTTTATACTTGATACTTGTTTAGAGTTTACCCAACACTGAATTATAATTATTTACTTCCTTGTTAGTTTCTCCCACTAGCCCATGAACTCCTTGAGGGCAGAGACAATGTCTTATTCATTACTCTGTCTCTTCAGAACCTAGCACAATGTACAGCACATAGTAGGTGGTGCTCAATGTTTGCTGAAACAATAGGTATGTCTTTTTCTAGTGGACAAGGTCTAATTCTTGCCAAATACCGAACAGCTCTGATTACCTTGGATACTTAGTTGCTTGTGAGAAACATTTAATACGAAAGAGGTAGCAATGGAATTACACTGCACTGCTTTTACTCACTTTGACTTATGTGTGTTAATGGGGAAGCCAGAGCAAAATGGATAAATTAAGGCCACAAATAGAACCTTATTGCAGCCAGTTTCAACTTCCTCTCTTATAAAAACTTTTGTTAAAATTGCCAATGAGAAGCAGAACTGACAGATTTGAGTTCCATCTTTTATTTCCTCAGTCTATTGCAGAGAATATCTGAAGGGCAAAAACAGAGGGAGAGGCTGAAGGCCTGAAGGACTGCTAGTCCACTGGGAGGAAGGAAGTTTGCTACAGATGCTAATGGTCTGTTTCAAGTCCTAGACAGAAGAGATCTCTACATTTCGAAATTTGCCTCTTCTGGTCCCACACTGTCCCTTAAGATGGGGAGAATGTCTCTGGACTAGGCTCAATAGTGAGGCCTACCTCCCAGTTTCCCAGGCTGCTCTGGCCACTTTTCTGCCTCCTCAAAACAAATAAAAATTCAGCTTTTCTAAAGAACCCTCCTCATTTGGAATGGATGTGAGAAACAATCCCACAAATCCCACATTAGGGGACTTTTTCCTTTCACTCAGATATTTGCAGCCTGAGGCCATTCTTAATTCACCTTCACTACTGCCAGCCTCCCAGTTCTCCCAGGTCCTCTCCACCTCCCTCTGCCTTATCATTGGATGGGAGACCCTCTGGGGAGGTGAGTCATAATCAAAATCAAGGCCCCAAACCAAATCTCTCAGCACTTAGAGAAACTTTAAAACTTAATTTGGTTCTTCTTTGATGTAATGATCAGGTATAATCACGGAATCCCAAGACGGGTTGGTACTGTCTACTTTTCCTTCCCTATGTATCAGAAGGCATAGAAGACACACTTGCTTAAAAAAATAGATTGTGGGGTTTTTGCTCACCCCCTTATTAGAAAGGAAGTCTGTAGCTAGGAAGATTCTTTCTTTCCCTCCTCTAATATACATAGTAAGAACTTTTTAGGCCATACTTTCAAGTATATCTATAAAACTAAATATAGTTCTTGTTATTATAAGTCTGCAGTATATCCAATCACCTGTTAGCCGCCAGCCTTTTCTCTCTAGGGTCACTCCTCAGCAGTGGAGGGGGGAGGGACTCTCCTCCACACTGCCTTCTCATTCCAGCTCATCATTACATTTACTTAACCAACATTTATTGATACAAGTGCCAGGCATTATGCCAAGCACTGGAGATCTAAAAATAAGACCAGATCTCTGACCTTAAGAAGCTTACAATCTAACAGAAGAAGTGTGTAGTAAAGAATTTAACCTTGCCCAAAGAGAGGTTGGTCTTTGCCTTTGGCTTCTGGGAAGTAACCTCGAAGTCCTTGGAATGTCCTGCCTAATAGAAATGTCTGTTTACCTGGGGGTCTCTGGCCACACTAGAAGTCTAGTAATGTGACTGAGGGGAAGAAGACTTTGAATCACATTATCAGCTAGACCTCCGGAGGGGCTGGAAACTGCGGTCTGCTAACCAGGTCTACATGACCAGGCCCCCATAAAAACTTGGGACACCAAGGCTCAAGTGAGAGTCCCTCGTTGGCAATACTTTGTGAGTATTGTCACACATGGTTACCAAGAAAATTTAATGCTCTCCATGACTCCACTAGGAAAAGACAACTGAAAGATCCCCATTTGGAACTTTCCTGGACTCTGCCCCATGCATTTCTTCCCTTCTTGACTTTAATGTTTCCTTTCACTGTGATAAACTGTAACCATGAGTATAACAGTCTTCAGTGAGTCTTATGAATCTTTCTGGTGAATTATGAAACCTAAGAGTCGTCTTGGGGGCTATCTCTAACTTGCAATTGTGTCAGAATTAGAGTGGTCTTGCGGATGATCCTCAACTTTGGTTGACAGTTATGTAGTGGGATTGGGAGGGCACAAAGATGAGAATGACTAATTCTACCTGCAAAGGTAAAGGTTCAAATAGGTATCTGTTGAATGGAGTTTTTCAAAGATGAATAGGTATATTCACCAGGTGAATGCAATCAGAGCAAGGCGGCATGGCATTATGTGTGAGGGAGGGGAGTATGAAACACATGTGTTTCGATAAAGCAGCATCACTGGAGGGGAGGCAGCAAAGGAGTCAAGGTAATTTATAAGGCTAGACAGATACACTAAGGCCAGGTCATGAGGAAACTTGCATGGCAAGCTAAGAAGCTCCACATGTGCCTTGTAGGCAATGGGAAGTCCCTGAAGTAAAGGATTAGATTTGCATTTTTAGTAAGGATCATTCTGCCAGTTGTTGTAGCAGGGATAGATTAGAGGGAGCAGGGGTGGGAAAAGACTGGTGACAATGAAAATAAGAGACTCTGGCAGTACTCCAGGAGAGAAAAGATGAAGGCTTGAATTAATGCATTGGTTTGTAGAGGAAATGGAGGAGAGAGAGGTGGGATTTAAAGGACATGGTGATTCACTAGCTGTTAAAGGTAAGAAATGGACAGGAATCATCAGAATGATTCCTAGGTTCCAAGCTTGGGTGACTAAATGCTATTAACATGGACAAGGATCTCAGAAAGAACATGACTGAAGGGTAAAGATAATGAGTTCAATTTTGGACATGCTAAATTTGAGGTGACTGGGAGGTCACCGATAAGTAGCTATATGTACAGGGCTGGAGATTATAGAGGGCAACAGCATATATACACAGCAGGTGAAGTCAGGTAAGAAAACCTGGAAAATATCCCTTGGATTTGGAAAACAGGAGACCACTGGTCCCTTGATGAGAGGACTTGATGTAGTAACAACACAAGTCAGATTTCAGTGGGTTGAGACATGAGTGAGAAGTGAGCTAGTACAGAAATAGTGGAGAATAAATCATTGCCAAAGTGGATTTGTTTGACACCAATTCTTCCGTGCAGTCATTAGAACCTGGCATGGCTTTTCTGAGCTAACGTTAAAATAGCCAAGACTATTTATCTTACCTAGTCTTTTCTAGGTGCATGGGTTCCAGTGGCACTTGACATGAAACAGGTGATCTCAACTAGTAGTCTCTTGCTAACTCATGCCAAGCTAGTCCTCCAGTCAAAGCAAGCAGAGTAGGCTACACTGGGCAATGGTATCAGGATTTTTTAGTTGCAAGCCCAGAAATCAGCTTTAACTACTTTAAACAAGATGGGATTTACTGGATGTTCACAGGTTTTATAGCAAGAAGAAGAAACAACCCCTGCCCCTCTGTGGACAAAATATACAAATTTCTACTGATTCACTCCCTTTGTTCCTCTGCTTGAGACACAAATTCTTAATGAAGAGCATGTGATTGGCCCATCTTGAGTCATGAGCCTGATGCTTGGCTAAGGGAGGGCAGTTCTTCCAAATTATAGTCCCACCAGACCATATTGCATGGGGAAGAGATAATTCCACAAAAAAGAAACTGGAAATTGTTCAGAAGGATAGCTGCCAGAAAACTAATATACAATCACAGCAACCAATAGCAAACCATCTTTGAAATAGGTGGCATTTCACAAAGTATGACTAGGAGATACATTATGTTCAGTAATTGATAATACTGGCTCCTCAGTTAAAAATATAAGGGGAACTCCTCTGAGGTACATCCATCCAGCTACCATTCAACAATACCAAGTTATGCGTGGTGATGTTTGGCTAATATGTTCTTTGACTCATGCATCTGTCCTGAGTGTCCTTTGGGGAAGGAGTCCTTCCAGACCCGATTATTTCTGAACAGAACCCAGCCAAGTCTCACTGATACTAGCATGCACTGTTCTTGAAATGATGCAGTTGGCTGCTGAGTACAGACTAGAGCATTCGGAAGGTCATTAGAGATGAAACATCTAGGCAACCAACAGCATGCTTCTTGGCAAGAGGAACACAATGTTCCTACTGCGGAACTGACCTTATTGGAATTCAGGAAAGAGTTTATTGATGTAGCCATGCTGAAATCTGCAGCCAGCAGGAACCTCGTTAGGTGTGGGGGGAGGGTGCTTCTCCGATTTTACAGTGTCAGCTTGAGCAGCTCTCAACACTGAAGCTAGATCCACTATGGTATGCTGATTTTGTGTAATCAGGCTGCGCTTAACAACTCCGGCCCAGATTTGTTCCCAGAATTAATCAACACAAAGGAACAACTGCATGTCACACATCTGACCTGGATCCCTCTGAAATTTTGTCCAAAGGACACTAGTGCTACTGGAGTGGAATAGTGAAGTCTTTCTGTCCAAAAAAAGAAGTCCTAGAAAGGTGGAAAGCAATATGAGAAGCAGATTGCAGCCATGGGAAATGCCACACATTTCATGAACAGAGTAGACACCATCTTCTTTCCATTCCCACAGTTGCCAAAGAGCTCTAGTTCACAAATCTGAATGGATCTTGCCTGCTCAAAGGTCTTTTGTGGCTCCCCTGCATATTGACATAAAATCCAAAACCTCTGTATAACACAATCTAGCCCATCTCTCTCTTCAGCTTCCTCTTCCAGAACCCTCCAGTCCTACATTGAGCCATGCTGAACTGACTTGAGGTCCCAGAACAAGTCCTGTCCTGCTCTGGAGGGGTGAGACTGCGTACCCTCCTGCCTTTGTGAGAAACTTCTCCCCTCCTCGTCTGCAGAGCACATTTCTGTCCCTCCTCTGAGCCTTGGCCCAGCTCTGACCTTCTCTGTGAAACCTCCCTCTGCTCTTCCTACTCCCCAAGGTTCTATGTGCCTTTTGGCACTAAAGCAATCTCACCATCTTGACACACCCTATATGCTGGTAGACTTATTTTCTCACCAGATCATGAGCTCCTCAAGGGCAAGGACCTAGTCCTGTCCATCTCCATAACCCACTCTACATCACAGGGGCCTACCACTGGGCTTATCTTTGTTTGTTGAAGGCACTCAAACGTTTGTTGAAGCAGTGAATGCACCCATTTCATCTCTGGCAGTGTCTAAACCAAAGAAAATCACACTTGTTTTCTCAGAAGAGGGAACATATTCAAATACTAAGAACTGCAGTTCCTGGTAAGACTTTTTAGAAAATGACGTTAGCAACAGCAGCAACTGGAAACTCAGCAGAATGCTTAAGTGCCAAAAACAGAGCGAAATGGGACAAGACTTGAACAGTCATGGTTTAGGTAGCCTGGGGGAGGGGGCGTGTAGCTGGGGGAGATTCATAACTGTCTTAAGTTTAAGAATCACAAGTTCTTTCTTAAGAATTACATATATTTACATTGTGAATCTACAATACACTTTTTATGAGTTGCTGCTCACATCTGAAGACCACCTAATTTAGGAACTTCCCCTAAATGTTTGAGCCAGCATTTCAGATAGGAGATAAGCTGTTTCCAGCTAGAGTAGCTTTGGTAAGTCCACTCTAAAATAAGACACCTGTTGTTGTTACCGTCCTCCTTCCCAACCTTCCTTCTGGAACCAGGCACCACTCTGTGACTCTCAAAGGAGGCTGCCTTCTTTAGTTCTCCATGAGGCTCCCAGGGTGGTCCGGGCTGTGGGGAGGGCTCTTTGGCTTGGGGGTAGACAGGTGCTCCAGCTCATAGTGTCCGTTGTCAGAGACACTGTGTGTGAGTTTCTCCTTCACGCTCTCCTTCTGGTTCCTCTTGTGCTCAATAATCTGCTGGAGCTGGTGTCCAGCATATTCTGGCTTGGTGGTCAGTGGACCAGCTGGCACAGCCATACCAAGAACATCTGACACCATGTATGGGCGCAGCCAGCCCACCAGAGGAGTGCTTCCAGGACTATAGTGGGTCTGCTTGTGATAGAAGAGAAGTCCATCTACCTATAAGAGGGGATACCAGGGATCAAAATGACTTCTGGGGCCACGTGTTTCCAGGAGAACCTACATACATAGGGGTAGCTCTTGCGGTCCAACTCCTTTTTTTGGGTCACTGCCAGAGGAAAAAAAGTTGTTTTTCATACATGCAATTTCTCTAAATGAAGAAATGGCCTTGAAAACTAAATTCTAGAAAATAAAAACATAAATAACACTTTCTTGTTTACAGAGTGCTTTCCTACCCACTATTTCACTTTCTTACCCACCATAAGGATTTGAGAGATCAGACCAATCAGAGTTCTGCGGGCCTCTTGAGAAACACATAGTGAAGCAGAAATTCAACTTGAACCTAGATCTTCTCTCTCCAAATCCCATGCAATTCCACTACCCAGAGGTCTCACAGTAGGGTATGTGCTCCACACAGGGGACAAAGCAGGGGAATTGGAAGAGCCCTTTGAGATGCTGGACTGCTGAGCACAGAGAAACAGGCTGTCAAGAAGTCCTGCTCTCCAAGACACAATTGGCTGCCTAACCTTCCCCCTAAATGGTTTGCAAGCTATGTTCTGGGAAACTTAGTTTTTCTCAATGGGAAGACCTCCTACAGTCCCGGATTTTCTTTTCCTGTGAGTCAGTGACTCATCTCTAAAAGGCATTTACTGTCATTGGGGCGTAAGAACTATAAAGATGGTGTCTTACCACCTTCTTAATTTACTCCTGGAAATGAACACAACTCAGCCTTCGTCATTTCCTCAAGTGGGAAGCTATTATCCTTCTGGCAAAATTATATCCAGTTTACACAAAGACTTGTGGGTAACTAGCCAGGATTTTAAAGGGTATGATAGGCAAAGGGGAGTTTGCTTATTTAGCCTGGAGAAGGTAACCACAGGTTCTAAAGATGACAAAAGACTCTCCCAACACTGAGGAGCTTCTGGGGATGTGAGACTTTCAGCAATAAGATCGAGAAAGTCCAGGCAAACTAGGAAAAGTTGGTTACCTTGCCCCATGCCACTGCTCAGCAAGCACTACCATCCTCAGGGACCATTTGCTCTTCGGAGGAAGGAAAGATTAGGAGTTCACACTCAGTCACAGAAGTCAAACAAAGGGCCTCATTCTCAGGTTTGTAACAGGAAGAGGCACACAAAGAAGGACCTAGGAATAAAAGCCTCACCAGATGCGTTGTCCTTTCAGGGCCCTTCTAGCTCTGGCATTCTGACTTATCTAGTAGGGTAGAGCTGAGGCTCTGAAGGGCAGTGAGCACATCCGTCCCAGGAATCAGCTTTCAGCCCTTATTCTGATGTTTTGACACAGTACAGTCAGAGGATATCTTAAGACTCTACGTAACCAAGTTTCCCTATGTCCTGCAATCATATCAGAGCAGTAATGATAATGGTTTTGTTACCTCGAAAGGGAAATCCATAGACAGCACCTTACACAGGCTCTCAGGGGTACAAGGAAAATTCTTTAGCCCCACAAATTTAAACTAAAATATAAATTTAGAACAAAGAATTAGTACATATTACAAATAATATTGGTTCCAGCAATTGCAAAGCTATATCAAGAAAAACAGTTTTCAGTCTCTTCCTTCCCAACATCCTCCCCTCCACCTACCCACTGAATTACTAGGTCAGTGGTTCTCGACCTTGCTTTATATATGAGACTCATTTGGGGAACGCTTAAAAATTAATGGTGCCTTGGCCCTACCTGAGATTCTGACTGAATTGGTCTGGGGAAAGGCTTAGGCACTTCTTTAAGCTCTCTAGTTGACTTTAACGTGCATTCAGGGCTGAGAACCATCATCTTGTGCTAGGTTTAGGGACTGTATCTTATCCTCCCAGCCCTCTGACAGTTGCCCCTAATGAAGGACTAGTGAAGACCCTTTCAGAGCAACAAGGATTTTTAGACTGAAGCAGTATAACAAAGAGATTAGGACTACAAATTCTAAAGCCAGATTGCCTGGGCTTGACTCCCAACTCTGCCAATCACTTAATCTCTATGTGCCTCCATTTTTCCCAGGTGTAAAAAGGGATAATAAAAGTATCTACTTCATAGGGTTGTTGTATAGATTCAATGAGATACTACACGTAGAGTACTTAGAACAGTAATATCAGAGAGAACAGCACCCTTGTTCTCCTTCCTCAATCCATGTTTTTCCAGGACCTTATTGATAACATCATTGGAAGTAATGACCCTATTTATTGTCCTGTAACTGTTATCCAATTGCCTTTAAAATGTTGTAAGCAATCCAAGCAAATGCCAATACGCAGGGCTTAACTAATAAAATGCTCTGAAAATAGCTGTCACATATTTAATCATTGAGGTCACATATTTAATCATTGAGCAGATAGCAAAGAGACTTTTGAGCTATCATCCTGGGACCTTGAGGAAGACAGTCCTCTCTCTGAGCCTATATTCTCATCTCTAAAATGAGGGAATTGACTAAATGAGGTCACTCTCAGCTCAGATGTAAGAGCAGAGGTTATCAAAATGTGGTTCATGACCAGCAGTATCATCAACACTGGGGAACTTGTTAGAAATAAATTCTCAGGCTTCACCTTAGACCTACTGAATCAGAAACTCTAGGGATGAGGCCCAGGAGTGTATGTTTTACTAGCCCTCCAGGTGCTGCTGATACATGCTACAGTTTGAGAACCACTATACTGGAATTCTAAATACTTTTTAATAAAAGCAGTTACTAGCATTTTATATCAATCACTATTTATTGCGTGCCTACCTTAAGTACTATGCTAGAAAGACGTGCATATTTATATCATTTGGTTCTTAGAACAACTCTATAAAGTAGGTGTTATTAATCATATTATAAAGATGAAAAAATTAAAGCCAAGTGACATTATTAACTTAACCTAATAATTGTTAAAGCCAAAACCAGAAGCAGATCTGGATGACTGTTAAACCTATACTCTTCCCATTATGCTATGCTGCCTCAAAAAAAGATAATTTCATTCATAATTAAATTTAGATAATAGACCAATTCAAACCAATCCCCATAAAGAACTCTGTGATCCTAACCCCAGGCCTTACAGGATTGAGCTTGGTATTCTCTCCCAGTCCTTCTTCTTCTGGTAACTTTGAATGCATCCAATAGAATCGGAAATCAGTCTGCCACAGAGAAGGGAAAAAGAAAGATGAAATACGGCTTATCTCGAACTATAATATAAGCAAAAAACACCCCATTCTAAACAGCCACGTGATTATAAAGACCTAAGCCCTTCTACCATTATCCTCATTTCCCTTAAAACTCTGCCATGTGGTTAGGAAGATGTTTATAAGTCTATGAAGATTTTTTTCTTAAAATCCAGTAGGATTACAAATAGCAGTTGAGCCAACATTTATCACTGAAGGCCTATTATATATCAGGCTCCATGCTAAAGACTTTACACACATAATCTTATTAATCTTCAATCACCCTGTGAGAGTTGTATTATCATTATCGCCATTACAGGTAAGGACTCTTGAGGCTCAGAGAGATTACGTCACTTGCCCAGGTGCACACAGAAATACTGTGGGACCCAGGACTTTCCAACTCCAAAGCACAATAGTTTGACCTTTGTTTTAATACTGAGGATTAGAAATTACTATATGATTATAACTTCTCATAAACTACTTTATTCTCTGAATCACTGATTACCCTTCTGTAGTTATTTAGAGCCTTTTCTTTCCTTACATGATTTTGCTTTTGGAAATTAAAAAAAAAAACACATACACACAGTCTTTATAACTGGAGAAAGAAAAATTCTTTTATAGCTCTCTTAATTTTTTCCCCTATGTATGTCAGTGTGTCTGGATTATCTGAGTCGGTTTTGATAAAATATTTCTATTACATTTTTATTTCACATGTATTTTATTTGCATACAGTTGAGAAAAGTAGTGGAAAAAGGCACGAAATTGTTTAAAGTTATTTTTGCAAACTGTATGTATTAGGTTTTTCCTTGTGGCTAGTCATCATAACAATTCTTATTTTATGTATTTGTGCTTTCTCCTTTTTTCCTTATTGGGTTAAATAGAACTTCATAAATTTCATTGAATATTAAAAAGAATTATCTTATATATTAATTTATTTGGGTTAGTTTTTTTTCTATTACATTAATGTCTTATCAATTTTGTTTTTATTAATTTATCTTATTCATTTTATTGCATTGATCTGTATTATTCCATGTGTTTAATACTTTCGTTTTTATTAACACTGAAAATTCGGACTATGATTTATTTTTGAATTGAACTTCAGCTCTATCACATTGTTATTTCCATTAACATTGTTTAAATATTTTCCTTTTGGAGAGAAGAATACACTTTTATAATTTTGATATTAATTCTTGAATTATTCATTCATCTAAGCAAAGATATCTTGTTTGCTTCCAAAATTCGATAATTAGGAAAACTGATATAAACATTAAAAAAAAGTTTTTTCTTTATATTATAAATACATAGGGGATTTTAGTTGCCAAATTCATGGGTTATAAATGTGTATTAGGAAATATCCTTCAATAGAATTAAAGAAAAACATGTTCTGGAATGAATTTTTTTTTTCCATTTTTCTTTTTAATATTTTTTAGTTTTTTTTTTATTATGGTGGCATTGGTTAATGAAATCCAGTAAGTTTCAGGTGTACAATTCAACAGTAAGGCATATATATATTGCATTGTATGTTCACCACCCATACTTAGCTTTCTTTCTGTCACCACATATTTGATGGAATGAATTTATGAGTTCTGATTTCTAAGTTTGGCTCTGCACTTGGACAAGGTATTTAACATCTGTGGCTCTCAGCATCCATATCTATATGAGAGGTAATAACATTACTTAGCTCATAGAGTTGTTGTAAGGCATTCAATGAGATCATGCTCACAAAGTGGTTAGCAATGCAAGTCTTGGCTATTATTGTTAGAATGAGGTGCATGTTAGAATTCTGAAGTACCACCACCTAGCATTATTTGGAAACCTAGCTTTGGGTAATGGCTATGAAAAGCAGCCGCCTATACTGATAACTCATGATTCTCACACTTGAACCTGTATGAGGATCACCTGGAGGCTTGTTAAAACATAAGAAACCCCCATAGTTTGATTCAGTAGATATGAGAATTTTCATTTCTAACAACACTGAGAACCACTGTGATAAACTAATTGACAGGGAGCACAAAAAAATCACCAATATAAAACTGGGACGATGATGGGGGACTGTTGGGAACAGACCCGCTTCACTCTGATAACTGCTACTGTCACTTACGAGATTCACCAATCTGAGAAAAATATTGGAGAAAGGTGAAATTTGAGGAGAATACTGGGGCCTCTCCTCACTTGGAAAATCTCCTTCTAGAGCTAGCCCCTCAGAGATGTGAGGCTTTGTGTCATACCAAGGAGGCCCTACCATCTTCAGAGTCAGGATGTGGTTGGTGAAGGAGTGGAGGTAGCAGGAGTCTATTTGATGATGCCTTACATTCCACCTTCTCTTCCTTGCACAAGGTGGCATCCCCTTCACCCACAATCTTCCCTGCCAGCAATCCTCCCACACTCTGGAGAGAGGAGGGGGTGGCTGCAGTTTCTACAAAGTCTAAGCCTACCCCTCTGTTCTGTTTCTCTCTTTCCTCCCCTCAAGAATTTGCTATTACTTCCTTTAGTTCCTCCTACTTCTTTTTTAAAAACGAAGCTAACTTAAACACACACAGATGCAAGGAACATTAGATAATGTTCTTGATATACCACATCCTGTACACACCAAGAAGTTGGTCACGTACCAAACCCACATGCTGAGCCACTTTCCCGGGAGGAGAGAAAACAGAAGACACAAGGGGTGTATCAATACTTACCTGGCAGTCATAGAAAGGGTGTCCCCGCCAGCACATCACATCCAGAACGTAGTAAGTCTGCTTCACCTCACTGTAAATGCAGTCCAGAATGGTGTAGTCTGGGACACAATGCAGAAAGTCGGTACTTGGTTCCCCTCCAATCAGGGTCCCCTCCACCACAATCCAGGGAGCTCCATCTTAGAGCTTGGGAACTGAGTCCAATAATGCTCAGTGCTTTCAGCAAGCACCAGCACTAAGGAAAAAAGGCTCAGTGGGGAGAGAGTTCTTCGAGATGCAGCTGAAGGGTGACCTGAGGTAGGACAGCACAAGAGGGATCAAGGCAACCCTTAAGCCAGTGGGAATTCAGATCTTTTAGATAAACTGGGATATTTATTCTCCTTAAAGCAGCTCAGGATTGAAAACAAGTAATCTTCCACTTTAGTTTACAACTACATTTTGAGCCCCTATCATGGACACTGTGTTCTGTGGGAATATTAACTATAAGTAGTCCCTGCCTTTAAAAAAGTTACACTCCAGTTAAGGAGATAATTATCACAAAGGAAAGAACAAAAAGCTGAACTGTATAGCACAAACTAAGAGCAACAGGAATTCCAGGGAAAAAAAAAGAATTGGAGCAGCAGGAAATGCTTCATGGAAGAGATGTGATACAAAGAGAGTCTTCTGGGATCAGAGGATTAGAACAACAGGGCAGAGGGCAGGCGGGAGGGCAGGCGGGAGGGCATTTCAAGCCAGAGTACTGAAGTGACATGAGCAAAGGCCCAGAGGTATAATGAACTGGGTACATGTGAGGAGCAAGAAGGCAAGCCAGCTGAACAGAGCTAAGGAGAGTAGAGGAAACATAGAAGGATATGGAGAGTAGGGAAAAGATACAAGGATGGGTAGCCAAAGCCCACATGTAAGAGGCTCTAAAAGCCAACAGAGAAGTCTGGCCTCAGTACCAAGGACACAAGGAACACCAAGAGAGCCCAAGCAGACAAACACAAGAGCAGAGTTCAGCCCAGCTCTGCCACTTCCTCGCTGAATGACCATGGGCAAGTTATTTAACCTCCATGATCTTAGTCTCCTCAGCTAGGCCAAGTTAGGAGGGAAAAGCTAAGGTTAGGACAGTGATAAAAGAGGAAAGGGAATTTGGCAGCAAAGCCCGAGCAACAGCTTACTGAACATTACACTCAGCATTCCAAAAGACCTTTCCCCAACAAATTGCAGCTGTCACCTTGTAATGGCAATCCATGGGAAAGACATGTTCAGGGATTTGTTGCTCAGCAGACCTCACCAAGTTGAGTCTATTTTGCAAATGAAGAGGCCTGACCTTGAAAGAGACAGCCTGAGTCTAGTGGGCAGGATGGTTTTTAAGCAGTTTCAAAGGCATGCTTTCAAAGTGGATCTTTAAAACAACTAACTAAACAACTTACACTGTCTTTTACTGATTAGAAAACTCAGACAATTTTATGTAGGCACCTTTTGCTGTTGTTGTGTTTCGCCTGTTGCCTCCTGGCAGAAGAGAAGAAAACCTGTTGACGCAGTAACCACTCTTGGTGTAGGCACTAGTAGAACCCTGTGAGGAAAGAAAGGTACCATTCTCATTAGGCATCAAGGTCTCCTCACCCCAATGCTTCCACGTTCTGCAGGGGTGTCATCAGCCCAAAGATGGTTCTCAACAAATCCTTTCTGCAGAAAAGCATTTCAGTCCCCATGCCAGGCACAGCTGCTATGGCAGACAAAGAATGTGAAGTGCACAGAATCCCTCCTGCCACAGACCAGGCATGCTGGCGTAGGGAGAGGAGGCAGCTACTCACCCTAGAGGCCACGATAAGCGCTCTTTTTCCAACAGGACACACGACTACAATCCATTCCTGCCCCAAATCTGAAGGGACATCAATTAACCATTCAGAGAGCATCAACTGGAAACACAAAATATGGTGTTAAAAATCAACAGGGATGTTCTGTTCCACTCTTTACAATGACAAAGAATTCACAGCCTATTATCTATAATGAAAATACAAGTAAAAGAATGAGGGTAGAGAAGACCGATAGTGGTACCTCCACCTTACTTGCTCTTAGCAGTCAACTTGTCTCCTGTTCAATTGACAGGATGGAGACCACTCACTGCGAACTTCAACTTTTCTACTCACCTTCATTACCTGCATCTGTACCCATTCTTATTACCTCACCACCTGTATCTAGGTAATAGGACCCTTCCCTTTCCTTACTTTGTCCACCTACCTACTACTATCATAACTATAATGTTCTAGGGTCTAAACCTCAGAGAGGAATAAGGTCCTTGACCTGGAGATGCTCTTAAATTAGATCATCATTTCCCAAACTGGTGACAGAAACACTGTACTAAAAGGGGGTTAGGAAATCTGTCTTTAAAAAAAAAAAAAAGGGAGGGAGCTGTGGTGAAATTAATTTGAAAAGGTTAATTCTTCCACTCATCACTCACCGATCAATTAATCCCTCCCACTGAATGTGTCATCTCTCCTTCCCCTTAGCCCACAAAATACTCAACCCCTAATCTTCAAAAACAAAACAAAAATGAAAACCTTTTATCACTCTGCATTTCTGTTAAGCTATTCCACTCAATCCTTTTTTTAAAAAACTACTTCATATTTCTTGATGTTGCCTTCCCTCCCACTGACACCTTCAATCCAAATTTGCTACCCCACAGCCCTGCTAAAGGTCAATGGTGACCTCCTTGCTGCCAAGTCTCTCTTCTCTCACCTCTTCCTTTCCTCCCCCTTCCACTCCCCATGTGATGCTGCCCGTCACATCCTCCTCTTTGACACATGTTCCCTTGTCCCTGTGGCAGTGCTATTGTTTTTTTCTTCAAACGTTCCTCCATACACTCCCCAAAAACATGTCCCTGTGGGGGTGGATCTCATCTATCTCAGTAGCTTCACTTGTCACTTCTAAGAGAATGCCTCCCAATTCACCTTCTTTTACCTCTCCAGGTAGAATGGGAGACTTCTTTCCTTTCCTTCAGACTTATCTATCCAGCTGGCCACCTGGTATCTCTTTCTCTGCTTATCCTCTCTGTACCTTAAACTCAGTATATCCAAAACAAAATTCACTGCCTTCTATTGCCCAAGTACTTCCCATCTCTGAAACATTCACCCTTCCCCTTCTGTAGCCCTATTAATTGTATAACCACTTACTCTGCTACTGAATCTTAAACCCAAGGCATAATCAACAATCCCTTAAAGAAAAGTTGTAATACAACACTAAAAGCACAAGTGACAAAACAAAAATTAGATTACACAAAATTTAAAGCTTTTGTGCTGCCAACAATACCATCGAGAAAGTGAAAAGACAACACACAGCATAGGAAAAAATATTTGCACATCATGTATCTGATAAGGGACTCGTGTCCAGAATACATAAAGATGTCTTAGAACTCAATAATAAAAGATACACAAATAATGCAATTTAAAAATGAGCAAAGGATTTGAATATATTTCTTCAAAGAAGATATACAAATGGCTAACAAGCACATGAAAAGATGCTCAATATCATTAGTTATTAGGAAGATGCCTATCAAAACCATGAAACACCACTTCACACCTACTAGGATGGCTACTCTTAAAAAGACAGATAATAAAGAGTATTGACAAATATGTGGAGAAACTGGAATTCTCATATATTGCTGGTAAGAATGGTTTGGTCACTTTGGAAAACAATCTGGCAGTCCTCAAAAGGTTAAATATAAAGTTTTCATACGACCTAGTAATTCCACTCCCAGGTATATATAGCCAAGAGAAATGAAAACATATGACCATAAAAAAAACTTGTAAGTAAATGTTCATAGCAGCATTATTCATAATAGTTAAAAAGTAGAAACAACTCAAATGGCCATCAACTGATGAATGGATAAACAAAATCTGGTCTATCTATACAATAGAATATTATTTGTCAATAAAAATGAACATGTTACAACACAGGTGAACTTTAAAAACTTTATGTTGAGTGAAAGAAGCCAGACACAAAAGGATATATCCTATATGATTCTATTTATATGACATGTCCAGAATAGGTAAATCCATAGAGACATTAGTGATCGCTAGCGGGTGGGGGAAAGGAGAAATAGAGATTGCTTAATGGGCACGTGGTTTATTTGGGGGAGGATGAAAATGGTCTGGAATTAGATAGTGGTGATGATTGCATAACCCTATAAAAATACTAAAAAAACAGTGAATCATACACTGTAAACATGTGAATTGTATGGTATACGAATTATATCTCATCATGGCTGTTTAAAAAAATTGTAGTAGCAGTTAATACTTCTGGGGCATTTATTATGGGCTCTGGACTAAGTGTTTAAGGTATACTCTATCTCATTTAATCTAACAATCCTATGAGATAGGTTATTATTACTATCCCCCATTTTATAGATAAGAAACCTGAGACAGAGTGATTAAGTAACTTGCTTAAGGTCAATTAAGAGCCTGGCTTTGAGGTCAGGTCTCTGTGACCTCAGAGCTTAAACCCTTAACAACTTCTCACAGTGCCTCTTCTATCCAATCTATTGCTAAATTCTGTCCATTCTACCTGGAGACATTTCTCATGCTCATGACCTTGTTTCCTTCCCTCCTTTACCACCTATCATCAGATTGTTTTTAGCAAACCTAAGCTCCCTGCCACAGTCTCTCTCTTCCAGGCCCTTTTACACACGGATGTGTCATCAGATGAAGTCTCAACTCCATCCTTGGCTCAAAAATTCTCAGTGGTGGTTCTCCACAATTTAAAACAGTCTAAACTCCTACACATATTTCCACTGTATTCCTTTCCCCAACCCTATGCTGCTCTGTCCTCACTGGCTTGTACACTGCTTCTCAGCACACCATATACTTGTCTCCCATTTCTGGGTTCCTGCTTAGCCTATTCCTGCAGCCTGGAATGCCCTGCACCTGCTTGTCAATGACCTACCCATGCTTCAAAGTCTCCTCATTTTTTAATTTACTTTTCTTGATTTCACAACCCTGCTTCCTTCTCTTTTGGAAGTTAATCTCACTTTCTTATGGCAAAAACCATAATCTACACTTATTCTAGGAGCACAAGGCCCCTATCTGGCCCCATCTATCTTCCCCACAGTGCAACTTAGCTTAACCCAGAGAAGGGACTTCAACAACACTTGCTGAACAGAACCGAATTATACTGTCATGAAGGATGTTATCTGTGCTGTATTTGGGGGCAGAGAAGATGGGAGTATTCTAAAGGTGAGAGAAGATTCTGAGATGACAAGACACTTGGGTTACAAAAGTATACAATGGCAGGTTACACCCCTGCCCCCACTAAGATGCATACTCTGCCTAATGGAATACCTGGACTGCCTAGAGTACTGGACAGTCTCCACAAGCCACAAGCCATATTGGTTCCTCTCTGTGCCCTCCAACGGGGCACTTAGTCAAGTTTGTCACAGTAATCTGTTGTTTTATGGCCTCAGCCCCATGTGGGCCAAATGGCTGGCTTGGGGGGGGCTGGGCAGATTTCCTTATATTCAAGAGCAGTTGTACTTCCCATCTTCCACCATGGAAAAGATCCAAGACTGACATCTTAGCCCACTGCTTGGGAAAGACTACCAATCTGGGAGGTGGGATAGGGGCAGTGCTAGGTTAGGCAGGCCCGATCCAGAACAGCTATGCAATGACTACTAAAAAAGTGACAAGTGCATGGAGTCCGTTTGTATATCAGTAGCTCAGGGACTTTCTGCAGCAAGCTGGCAGCCTTTGGTTATAGCCTGGGGTAATGGTTCCCACTATTCAGTCTCCATCAGTGATCCCCAGTTAGCACATGGCACTGTAAGCCATCTCTTCTCTCCATCCATAAACTTTCCAAACAGCATTTTCTTTGCAATTCCCATTCCTTTTTCCTGCTTATTCTTCCTCTTTTTTGGAAACATTTATTTCAGTGGGGTTTGACTGCATAGTAAAGGGAGTAGAACTAGCTGTGCCTAATTTCTGGAATACTCACTTGATTAGCATAGCGTTTTGGTAACTTCTTGCCAGTGTCAATATCCATTTCTTCATCATCTTTCTTATCTTCTTCTTCCTCACTCTCCATCCCTGTCCAGTCATCTTCAGCCAGTCTTCTGGCATGATTCACATAATCCAGCCGCTTGCTGGAGAAAGAAAAGGCATAAATTAATTAAATCTGTCACACCCTAAAATGTGACAGATTTAATTAATTCAAAGGCTCCGAATTCAGGAGCAACTTTGAGATTCTGATGGGAGTAAGAGATGACAGAATTTCCTTTGTAAGGCTAAACTAGTAACCTCCTCCTCATGGATCCTAAATCAGAAATCCACTCTGAACACACTCAGCCTTCCTTTAAAGGAATTTTCAAGGTTTGCTAGCTGGAAAGGCTGACCCTACTCCCACTCACCCTACCCCAGACTCCCAGCTCTATCCCAAGTGAGAGCTGACATTTCTCTGCTTGGTAGACATCTAATCCAAAGTCCCCCAGGGATTGAAAAGGAGAATCATTGAGATGAAGTGAGAATTTTAAAACAAGGACAGCTTCTGGGGCTTTCCACTTTATACAGTTTTCTGAGTAACAGCCAGGCCTTTCTTCAGCTCCTGTTGAACTTTCAAAAAAGACCATGTAACTTATAATTAAATATCTTTTGTTTCCTTTTATCATTATCTTCCTCTTTTTAAAAACTACATATTATAGAAAGTTTGGGAAATTGAGAAAGAAGAAAAAGAACCTTTTGGAACCTAACTGTTCCAAAGCGACTTGTAGATATTACACAATCCCCTAGGCTTCGTTTCCTCAATGCTAAGGCCAAAAGATCAACTACTAAGGCAGTGAGACCAACTTAGCTGGTTTCTTCTTAAACACACCCATGTGTTCATGCACATTCACATGAAGATGCACACCAGGGAGAATATATGCAAGCACAATGATCTTTTATTTCAAGAATAAAGGAGAGCTGGTGTACTTGCACATGTGCAAAAGGATACATATTTGTGGTTATTTCCTAGACATTGTTTGTAAGCGCAAGAGAAGGAAACTACCCATATACCCATCAGTAGGGGACTGGTTAGATTACATCGTGAACTATCCATTCAATGGGATACCTGGCACTTTATGAACTGATACAAAATCTCTGCAAAAACAACAACAATAACAACAACAACAAACACCCAAAACTGTTAAATAAATGTGCAGAATAGTATATTTTACACTGCTACTTCTGTTAAAAAAAAGTTATATACATATGCAATCACAACTTGCTCATATATGCACAGAATGTCTTTGGAAGGATACACAAGAAACTAATAATATGGAAGAGGAACTGGATGGCTAGGGAACAGTATTGGGAGGGAGACTTTTACCAATTGTTTTGAAATAAGTAATACATTTATTGCATGTATTCTCAGTTCAAAATTCAAAACATATAAATTATAATTTTTTAAAAATGGAGTGTAGGGGTGATGTGAGAATGTAAACTGCCAGCAACCCAGAGGCCACAGGAAATCATTTCTGCGAAAAACATCCAGTGATGCAACACTGGGCAAAATGGAGGCAGTATAGAAACTGTGTAGCTGTTAATAGTTCCTCCTAATTTTCAATTTCTTACTTTATTACCCAGAAGAGGTTCATGTTGCACTGAGAATAAAAGGGCAGGCCCTGCCTTCAGAGCAACCTAGCCTCGAACACTCCTATCCTGC